CTGAACAAAATTTGCAGACCAGGCTGATAAATACTAGTTAAGTTCCAGCAAAATTTTGGAATCTTGAGTAAAATCTTGCTTTCCTTGTACAGCAGCTGTCTTTGAGAGTTCAGGCTGCTGTTTCAATGTCTTGTCTGTCTTGTTTTATGTAATGTAATATGTGTTTGTCCTGTACTTAGTTATATTTATGACCAGTGTGTTAATGTCTCTGTATCAGTGTTATAAGGAAATTACACTATACTTGAATAATATCTAACACTTAACTGTAATAGCACTGTCATGTTCTGAGAAATATTAGAAATTGATTGGCAGTATAAAGTGGTAAGTGTTGAATTTACCTAAAAGCTGCATCTGTTCTAATTCAATAATTCAATAAGGCATATTTCAAGCCTCTAGTACTGTGAGTGAGTATGCAGAATAAAATCAGGTTTGCTATTTCAGACTTTATCAACGTTCTGTGACCGAACACTTGAATTCTCTCTTTCAGTACTTTATCTCTAAGTTGCTTTGTAATTCTCTTGATTTCCTTTCTAATAACACTGCTTACTTCTCCAGAATTTCCTTTTAAGTCTCATGAATCTCCTCTTGACTGTTCTTAGTTGTTCTACCCATGAAATTTTCCATCTTTACTGAAGTTGATTGATGGAGCAAGAGAAATTCAGATGTGCTGTTCATTCCAGAAAGTATTTACACTGCCCTTTCTGTAGCATGACAAATTCATCTGGTATTTGAGGAGATATATAGTGACAAAGCTGTTCTATAGTGAGAAATAATTATATCTTCATTGATAGGGTGGACAAGAATTGAATTTTCTGGGAGGTACTGTAAGAAAAGGTTACTGTCTGGAATCTGGGGGAGTTTGAGCAATGTGACCTTGAGGTTTTAGAAGGAGAATATACAGAGGTTGTAACAGCAGTAGGACTATGATAAAGAGCGGGGGGAGCTTGGAGAAAAAGTGCTATGGTGATATTTCTCAGCTATTAGATAAATTCAGCAACATTCACATTGCCCATGGGGTCTTAATGTGCTGATTCACATCACTGTAAGTTGCACTGGGTATGTGTAATGTGAGCTGTATACCTAACACAGTCTGCATGGATTTTTATGGATCTGGCCATGACTGAGAGAGATCAGGTGCCCTTCTTTCCTGTGCCAAGTTTGGGGGAATTGAAATGGGGTTGTCAAAGGTATTGCTGAAAAGCACATGGAGCCACTCAGTCCATAGAAGACCAGGTAAGTTACAATACTGTCATTTGGGCCTTGTTGTTGTTCCCTTCCCAATTTCTGGAATAGTCAGCAGTCACCCAACATGAAAAGGAAAGGCAAGAGCAATAAATGCAGTTGAGTAGGTTTGCTAAGAGGGAATGAAGTGAAAGATCAAAGGTTGATGGCGTATCCCAGGATTGCTAAATTCGTAATTATACTGTTAGGACAGTTGTCTCCAAAGGAATGGTTGAGTCATTAATACAAATTATGTTGTTAAGGAAATTTTGTTTAATTGCTTACTGTGAATGTGAAGAAATACTGGTGGAGAATTGGAGGGAAAAGAATGGCTAGTGAATCTTGCAGTGCAAGGCAAGGAAGAATAGTGCTAGGAAAGAGTCTGAGCAGTAGACAAGATTGGAAGGAGAGACACTGAAGGATATACTTCTATAGTGCTTGTAGAAAATGATGGCGAAATCTGAGAGGGTAGTTTTGTAAAATCCAGATTTGGGATCAAGTTGCTGATTTGGCAGGGAGCTGAAATGCTAAAGTCTGCAGACACAGCAAGGATGAGGTGGGTTATAGGCTTTGGGTATTGCTCATAGAAAACATAGGAAGATCTTGGTGATATTTTTGGACTGGAGTCAGTCCAGCAATAAGTCAGTCCAAGGAAGTTCAGTCTTTGACTTTTACTAACTTTGTTTCTAATGCTAGACTGCCCTGGCCACAACTTGGGCCGTTAGTTCAATATTATGTTTGAACTATCCTGCTTCTCCTTTCCTTGTCCTTACCCTGTGTTCAATGAAAAGTCAAAATCTATTGCTCTGTCCTCTGTTAGTTTTTCTCTCACTCCTTGGATCAAAGACCTTCTTAAGACTTGGTTTTGTGCAATATACATTCATGGTGCTGTAAGCATTATTATCTTAAGTTTAGTTTACTATAGCTAACATCTTTTTAATGGAAAACAAAACAAAATACCATTAGGTATTAAGTCATTAATATTATTTTTGAAGAACTTTTACCCAATATCATCATTTTGAGCCACTGCTCCTCTTACATTCCTCTCTAGAAGGAAACTATCGCTCTTTTACTTTATGCAATGTGTCTAATTTAAATTAACTGAATATGGACTTTATTTAATACAGTAATATGATAATATAAACCTTATAAGTATATAAACTATAAATATAAAACTTTTTCCTGCTTTTCTGTTGTGTGAATGTCCACCTTGAAGTGTAATCTAATCTGGCTTATTCACTCTTGGTCATCCCTATGCTAATGACAGGACACAATGTGTGCTCATATTTTTATTCAGTAAATAAACTTTTATAGTAAACTACTCTGGTGGGATGTGTCATCCACGTCAAGTCTGTGGGCGGGCTTAATGGTGCATCAAAAATTTGTTGGGAGTTGTTTTAGCCCTTGGTCAGCAGTAGTGCTGAGACAACTAGTGGTGGGGGCTGCAGTGTGCCTATATGTAAAAGGGGTGCCCTGCAGTGTTCTTGCCTGCGTTCCTTCTGCAGTGGTCTCACAGAGTCACTCTGCTGCATCTGGGGAGGAGGCTGAAATACTGTTGTTTTCCTGGCCCTGAAAGAGCCCCTCCAATTTTAACAACTGCTGAATTTATTCCCATGAAATATGTTTGATTTGTACAGCTGTCTTGGACTGATTTCACCATGCTGTAAAGATCCACCAAAAGGTTTTATATAAACTACTTAATTTAGAGCCTTATTGTATCTGTAATCTACATAGTCTTATCACTCCATTCTGTTTTACTGCTAGAATACGTTTGCGTGTGATAATGTAGGACAATGTTGGCTCTCCTTAATATGTTAGAAAGAGAAGGCATATTTTAAAATTCTTTAGAACGCCAAAATACACTGATGTAGTGGGTTCTGGCTGATGTTGTATAAATACATCAAAAGGAGGCAGGGAGTTCTGTTGCCAATTCTGCCACTCTTCAGAGGATTTTCACCAAAAGAAGAGTAAAAGCAGTAGCACACCTGCAAAACAACAACATGTCTTTTTGGAGTTGGGGTTTGTGTTTGGGAAGAGGAGGAAGCAATTTATCAGTCTTCCTCTAAAAGCAGAATGGGCTGTATTACATTCAAAAGGAAGAACTGGACAAAACCCTCCTCTGATCCCTTAGCTGCACTTGGCTTCAGTCAACTTTGCGTTGTATTGATTACTGGTGTTAAAATTATCTACTTGTTGTGTAGTAGAATAAAATATTAATGGAGAAGATCCACTTAAAAATTCTAAAAGAACCGTTTGTCTTTTTTCAAGTGGAATTTACTGGTAAGTCTGAAGCTGTTCACCAAGTGACTTAATTTAGTCATAGTACTAAACAAAATTGTAATTAATTACGAAGATCAGAATGAGATACCATTGTGCCACTCTGAAATTCTGAATATGCTACAAGCTTTGGATTTCTGTGATCAGAAGACTGAAGTAGTAATACCTGTAGATGACATAGATGATTTTTGCATGTACTTCAAAGAAAAGAAATAGAATATCTGATTTTGGGAAAGATAGAAAGAAGGATGATGACAGCACTCAGATATTCTGCGACTTCAGCTGAACGCACATACTTCATCACACTTACATTTTACCTTTTTCCAGTAATAACTGATAACTGTGTCAAGGATTACTGGGAATTACAAAGACAGAAGTAAAGTTGATTTGGTGATTTTATAACTTTGGATTAAATGATGCATCTGTTTTGCTTTTTTGCTTTTTGTTGCACTGTATAGATTTTTGGGAGGGAGGGTGAAAGTGCTACTCTGAGTAGTACTGAGAGTTTTAAGTCATGTACTTCTGAGTGTTTTGTAATTCTTTTTTTTTAGCAGGATGAGAATATTTCTACTAATCATTGTTTCCAGATGCACTGAAAAGTTTTACACTGGTGGATTTTGGAAGGTCTTTTTTAATGTGCTTTCACAAAATTTAAAAAAAGTTAGTGATTGGTGAGAGTATGTAGAAAAGCTGGCCTAGCATTTGGAAATGGTCAAACTGTGTTGTGTATCAATGTAACATTGTAACTGCCAGGTGAGAAAAAAACCCAAAAAACTATTATGAGCTTTTATTATGAGGTTTTATAAAAAATGAATGCCTATTCTTTATTATGCATGGATCTTTTAATTCTTGTCATGCAAGGAGACCAACTTTGGGCTCGGGGTTTGGGATTGTTATGAAACCCAGGGCATACCCCATTTCTTTGGCCTTACCTGCCTGCTCTGGTAGCAAGGACGGATTCAGTGTGGAAGATCTTATTGTGCCACACACTGATTAGCAAAAATCCCAGAATATACTCTGGTCATCTTTTCTTCCCTAAAGAGCTGCACTAAGATGCAATAGCTTTGGTGCAGCTAATTTTAATTTCAATGAGCATTTGTAAATAACTGCTTTCCTTTCCCTAGGTGTAAAATGCAAATGCACTTTTTTTTTTCCAATGAGTCTAGTATGCCAGAAAAGAACTGAACGAATAAGACCTTCAAGAAACTACCAGATATGCGCCATATTTTGGGTTTAGTTAAAATCGTTTAGAGCAAAGGCCATTAAATCAGAGATGGATTTTTCCCAAGTTTGCTTTGTTACATGACAGTGTTTGAGTTTACATTTTGTTTCCAGCTAAATGCAGGTAAAATTCATGTTGGTATATATGTATGATATTTATACAAACAAACAATATTAATAAATATGTAATAAAATCAAATATCTTTTCTTCCTGCAGTATCAAGTCTTCTTCCTCCTTTTCCCAACCCCATTAGACCAAATATCTTTATTTTTCTTCGCAGATTGAAATGCTAAGAAAGAAAGTCAAAGAAAAGGAATTATTTATAATACAGCTTTTAGAAAAGATTTCTTTCTTAGAATGTGAGGTAAGGCATTATATAATTGTGATTGTTTTCTGAAATCCAATAAAATTGGATCTGGTGTCACCTGATGCTGCTTAAATACATGTTTACTTCTTATATTTGCTGTTCTTCAGTAAACAAAAGTTTGCTGAAATTAAACACCTGTCACAAGATGAATGTTTGTAATATAAGGTCTGGATACTTCCATTATAGAGACAAAGTTTGTGTTGTTTCTCAGCTTCCTGGGGCTGAGAGGGAAGTAGGTTCCAGTAAGCAGCAGGAGATAACAAGAAGAATGGGTATTAGGCAGCCTGGGGTTTTGGTGGTTATGAGGGCCACTGTATTTCCACACCTATGCTCCAGGTGATGTCTTTATCTGCCCAATGAGTGGGAATAGATGTACAATTTCATGCTAGCTTTGTTATCATACAATTTTATAAGTGTCATAAGTTCTTAAAACAGAAGCTGCTGAAAAAAGATGGTTGATTTAATTTATTGTATTCCCCAGAAATAAGGAGTGTTTATTTTCTCAGTGAATACTTTTACATTATTTATTATGGAGAAAAGCCAGATTGGAATTTTATTTTCTCATTTAATTGACATAGCTAATTAACATAACTAAAATAAACTTGTGTTGAAAATGTTTTCCAGAATAAAGAATTACAAGATAAATTGGACTATTTAATGGAAAATCAACCAAAGACCCATGTAGAAACCAGAGATGCTGGTGTAGGATGTGATCTTCCATATAGGTATTTCAATTTTCTTGTTTATAGCAAACTTCTTCGCAATGTCCCTTATCAGCACTATGTTAGTACACTGTTAGAGTGGATTGTTGAGTTCTGCAAAACATTCCTAATTTTCAAAGATCACCTGGTAGATACAAGATGTAATGTACTTCAATGACTCGAGCAGTTTTAGATGCGAATTTATTACAGACCCTTGGTGCTTAGTTGCAGTAATGTGAACAGCTAGAAGTGAAGATATCTGACTTTGTGAAATGTGGAAAATATTGATGAATTGTGTCTGCCAGCACCACAGCAGGAGACAACGGTCAGCACTGCCCTGAGCCTGTTCAGTGCTGGCTTCATGAATGCTTTATTGTTTACATTCCACAAGATGCATCAGTGACCACTTTAAAGGGGAGGTAACACCAACAGTAGCAGTCTAGAACTGCAAAGTTTTTGGAACTGTCCTAGCACTAAGTGGACTACTGCCAAGTAAACAGCACAGATTATCACTTGCACACTGGGATGCCTTTCTCTGTTCTCTGACAATGGGTGAAGTTTAGGCCTCCCTTCTCCACCTTCCCTTCCTTAATTCCAAACACTGCAGTAGGGTTGTACTGAGACCTGGTAGCAATGCTATCAACTTTGGCTTGAATCTCTCCCCAAGAAAATCACCACAAGGAAGGGCAAAACTGTAAGGTAAGGAGGATCACTGTATATTACTTTAACTACCAGCAGGTAAACTAGTTCATCTCAACTGCCCTGCAAATCGAATTATTTTGTTTGATGTAAATTAGCATATAAAATCAGAAAGCTGCAATGCACACTAAAATTTTCCTTTCTAGTTTAAAAATACATTCATGTCAGTGCTCTGCCTAAAGCATATTGTAATGGCTCTGAAATGTCACAGACTGTTGTTTTTCACCCAGGACACCAACATCTTTGTTGTCCCCTCTGGGTCCCTCTTTCACATAACCACAGCCCCAGTCATCTGATGCTTTTCCTAGTTTTTATATTTATCTTTGACCTCTATACTGTTTAGATTTTATGGTATTATACTTCACAGTTAATTGTGTCCTTACATTTGATTTTACGGTCTTTAGGATCTTTAGGTTAAGCAGCTGTATTGCTGGATATTCCAATATGAGCTCCAGTTGATACTTGCATGGCATGTTTTTTATCAAATATTATTTGCAGCATTATATAAAATAAATATGGAACATACCAAACACTTTGAATAGTGTAATTTTAGCCTATCAATAACAAGGCGCAGGTTTACTGCAGTGTCACTTTCAGCCCAGTTGTCTGATGCTCTGACGTTAACCCTGCAATTTTTCTTGTATCCTCAACAGTACAAATAATGATAACGGAAGATCTCCTGAAAGCACAAGGCCAGTGAGGACATACACCCCATTCAAGAGAGTGTTGGAATATAGCACAAAGAACAGTACTTCTTGAGCATCCAAGTCAATGTTCTTTCTAAATACAAACAAGTATTTTGCGCCTTTGCAGCTTGATTAGATAAATTTTTATCAAGTCATAGAGAAGAACAGCAGCATGGAGTCTTGCTAAATTTATCCTGAAAGCAGCTTTTTAGTAGCTTCCTATCTGAAGTTACTACTGATATTAACTGTGAGGGAGATAGGCAAGAAGTGGGATGAACGAAACAGCAGTCTATATTGCTTCTTTAGAAGCTGTCTAGTGCAATGTGTCATTTCAAATACCTACAAGGAAGGGGTTGTATAGCTGTACAGATTTTCTTCAAATGTGTTCTAATTTCATTTGTACGATGAATCTCTATTTTGTTTTCAATACTACCAGAAACAGAATCTAAAACTACCTTGGCAGGGGGCATTAATCTCAAAGCTCCTCCTTTGTGTACAGAGTGTGAGAGCTGTTCATGCTTACCATAGAGACCTGCAGTGACTTAGGGCTCCATTCACACAGAACAAGTTGACTAGGAACAAGCATTCTCTTGCTGGGAGGGAGAAATGCAACTGGGATGTTCTCAGGAAATTCCCTCTACTCATGCAGATGAATGTTGTGTTTGTCACTCAAAATATTAAGCGATATAGCAGCTTTATGATGGATTTTGCTTTATTGGTTGAATATGTGGTTTGTACTTCCTAGTCACAGAGCACAGTGACCATTGGTGATACACTCACTAGTGACGGGGTAGGAAAATCCCCGTTGCTTTTTTAAAATTGCTTTTGCATTACAGGAAGGAATTCTCACTGGACAGCATTTCGCCTTCAGTAACCTTCTGCAGTTCCTGCCATTCCCACATCAATAACTATCCTGAATGATTATTTTGATTTTGAGTATGCTTTCATTCCCTACAAACACTTAAAATCTTATCCCCAACTTCAGAGTACCAGCAGAATGACTGCATCTAACAACTGAATTTATTTATATAGTCTTAGTTTTTACATATTATTTTCATCTCCCAGTTTTATTGAAATAAGTTTAGTTTAGTATTTTCTTGTAGTCCTGTTGCCATCAATGTGGCAAGTTTTTTTCTATTACAGCAACTGCTGTAGAAAACAAACAAGTTGTTTTGTATAATTCCTGTATTGAATATGAACCCCAGGAGGTGTTCATCTTGCCGCAGGGCTGCATAAAATGATTGCTTTTATCTCCAGTCTAATGCAAGTTTTTAAATTCAGTACTCTCTGTTCAATTAATATACTCAAAATTGTATTTAAAATAATAATATTTAACTCATAATCCCAATCTTATTTCTGCATTCTTTCATGGTTTTCTTAACTTGCTAGAAATCTTAGTTTATTCTTTAACTGTGCTGTTTAGCTACTAAGTAAAGAAGTCTGTACTGGAGCATGGAGTGGAGGATGTCTTGATGCAGTACAAGTACCTCACAGAAACATGAATTACTTGGTGTAATTAAAGCAAAAGCAAAATAAAATGGGAAACTCTAACTTCTCCATTTTTTATGCTTGGATCATCATCCATCTGCATGTAAGCTATTTTTTTTTCTTTATGACCTGATCAACTCCTGAGAACTTAGAATGGTCATTCTTCCTAAAAAGTCAAATGCAGTATTGTGGATTATTTTATGTGTAGAATTCAAGAAATGCTGCAGTCAAAGCCACCGACAAAAACGTAATCTATCTACTGTTGAGGTAAGCCTGTAATCTTTATTGGACTAAAAGTCACGAACATTAACAGTTGCTCAGTGTTACTTTAAAAAAGAAAAATTCAAAGTTTTACCAAGTTAACTTAATAGCTCTAAATGGGAACTCATGTTTAGTATGCATGTGATGGAGTGAATAATTACTCCTAGATATCAAAAGGGGAAAAAATATAGCTATTGCCTTAGTGAATAGAAATTATAACACACATTTACTTGAGTTGCTTCTCCCAGAGCAGAAGAAAAGGGCTTGAAAGGGAGGTCCCTGAGAATTAAGAATTCTACTCCCTTTAAAAGGTCCTCAGGCAAAGCACCTCATTGTACAAGGCAGAGGAATACCAAATGCTGGAATATCAAAGATGAGAAACCAGCTGACAGGTGCAGAAGCTGTAGCCTCAACCCCACATAGAGTGTTCTTGATTGAAGTTTTCATGATTGAGTGTGTTTGGGAGATTGAGTTCCCAAATAACAGTTAATTTGATCAATACCTAATTAATTAGGTTGTGTACAATGAAGATCTTGAAGTGGAACTTTAAATACAAAAACATTTTAAATGGAAGTGTTTATTGATGAGCACAAAAGATGATGGGTAATGGCTCAACCAGTATTTCAGGCACAATGTTTGTATGTGTGTAATCATATCTCCCTCTAGTGGCTCATAGCAGCAAAAATTATTAGCTGTTAATTGGACAATGTGGTTTGAAGAGAAAAATACTGAAGACTATGCCCAAATGGCCATGCTAAATCCGTTATGGATGCAGCCTCAGTTCATTATCAGCCTGTTACCATTTTATGTGCCCAAACAATCTGGTTTCAGGATTGTATTTATGAAGTGTGATTAGTGAGTTATGTTCAAAAACAGATTAACTGATGAAGTTTTTATTTATAGATAAGAGGAAATGCAAGTTGTTGTGATAGAAAGACATCAATCGTAAAGTGCAATTAAGTAAAAATACTTCATTGATCTGTCTGGCTTGAGCCAGAGTTCAGAAAACAGAGTCTCATAGCTAAATGCTCTGGCTTTAGTAGAGGAGAGCAGGGTGAAATATCAGAAGGTTTTGATTCAGACTTCAAAAGGAACTTCATTCTGCTTCTAACATATTTCTAAGAATATCTCTGAAAATACTTCAGCTTTGAGACTTGCAAAATGGTGATCATCTGCTCAAACCTGCACCCAGACTGCAGAAATATTTCCCGCACAAATTTTCCATGTAAACTCTATTTATGCTGTATTGTATTTTGGTATTCAGTGCGTTGGATGACCATTGTTTGATTGAACTATTGGTCTAAATTTGGTAGCTGTGAAGAGCAAGAGAGGAACAGTATTTGTATAACTGTGTTACATGAAAATATAGAGCTTTCCAGTCAAATCAATAGCAATGTAAATTAGCAGAGATAATAAATCTGGCTGAAAAGACTTTAACACTTCAGTACAAGTTTTGTCAAATTGAGATTGGAATGCTTAGTACTATAACATTAGAAACTAGTAAAATTTCTGTAAACATCAATAAAAGCCATATAGGTAGGTTCCAGAAAGTACATCAAATATAAGTCAATTATATGACTTTATTTGTACCACGGTAAGTGTTATTCTGTGATTTATTCCAGATCTTCTGGAAAGTATTTTGGGATACAGTTTTCATATATGCTGTGTAAATAGTGCAATTACACTGTATGCTTTTAAAACATCCTGTATGTAAGACTTGAAAAGGATGAACTGTAATAAATACTGTATTTAAAATTTCTATTCTGTTGTGTAAATATTCGGAAATAAACTTACCTTAAAACCTTGCAAGTTTTACTCTACATATTCTTGTTTGTTCAAAACATGTATGAATGCAAAAGTGGTTGCTCTGCAGCCTGGAATCCTTGTCAGTGTTTCTGTTGGCAGATGTGCTCTTGAGACAGGAAGACACTCCCTAGCTAAAGACTAAAGACTCTTCTCAAAGCCAAGTAACAAAAGTAGACAAACTTTTGTAGAATAAAGAACTATTGACTTGCAGAGGATAAACAAGACATGGGCAACATAACATTCTCACTTACAAATGAATCAGTAAAATCAGTTCCCACAGATAACATCTGACTGCAGCTGGGATGTTGCCCTCCAGCTTTCAGAAGAATGAAATTGGGATGAATGTGGCCCTGTGTTTTGTTGTTGTTGTTTTTAAAGTTTATATCCACTCACTGATAACAGCAATTTATCTTCCATGTCAACTAATTACAAATAGTTTTTTCAAACATTACAATTACCATGTTAGTGGTTTGCAATACTCAACTGTAGAATGTGAAGCTTTTATCTCACTAATATTCCTGTGTATGTCTCTTCAGCAGAGACTGACATAAGAACATCATAAAATCATACTGAGATCATGCTCAGTGGTGGTACTACAAAATAGGATGCTGTGAGTTGATTTCTCAAGTTTTTGGGAGAGGCTTTAAGTCCTCATTTTGACATCTGGAGACTTTTAGAAGTGGATAAACAAACAGGTAAGAAGTATTGTGTGAAGTAAGTGTGTAATTCTGTACAGAAAATACTTACTCCACAGAACGGAGACACACACTGACAGTTTCATTCCACTTGCATCCTATTTCCTTCCTATTCAGCTCTTGGAGATATTTACTTGTAAAAGAAGAAGAGTCCTGATGAGTCTAAGGCCCTTCTGACCCAAAGCTTCAGCACTAGAACAGGGAAGAAATGCAGAAAAAGACAAGGTTGTGGCAGTCATCCACAACTTGAGGTATGTGAGAACTCCCCAAAGTAAAAGGGACCTGGAGATTGGAAAAAAGTACAGAAGTGTGTAGGTTTTGTTTGCAGTGTTTTAGAGAAATAAGGTTATGGGAAGATAAATTACTATAATGACATATGACAATGATTTATTGTTTTTAACGAAATGAAAACAAATCATTTTAGTCCTAAATGTTCATACAATTTTTTTTCTGTTATGTCAGGAGTGGTTTATTTTGTGCGTGTGGCTTGACTCCAGTTTGCTTGCCCCCAGTATTTCCATCTAGGAGCAGGGAAACAGAAAGTAGGTTTTCTCCCATCAGAGCCTAATTTCTTAAGTCTTAGGATTTCTTAGTGAAGAGCATAATGATCTATTTATTAAAATGGGAGATAGGAGAAAAGGACAATGAAAGTGATACCCTTAGCAGATAAAGTAACGCTCTTGGTAGTGTTAGCTTTAAGACCAGTTATGACCTGTGTACTTCTGACAGAAAGTTCTCCCACCTGTAAAAAAAGTCATGGCTACCTCTCTTCAGATGCTGTCTGACTAGAATACCCATTTTGTGCTTTCTTCACAAAGTTTACTCTTTTGTTCATATACTTGATTTTCTTCATTGCTATTCTAATGATTTAATTTTCTCATAGACGTAGCATTAAATTGCATACTAATTACAGGCATGCTATTGTAGAATAAATTGAATTCTAAGTATGTGACAGAAAACAGACCGTCTGAAAACAGTGCCTAATGAGAGCTCTTGAAATAATGTCCTAAGAGCATACTCTTACATAGGAAATAATTAAAAAAACCCCAAATAATAGTTTTTTTTTATATACATAGCTCACATGAGTGTTGATCGACTGTTGGAACAAATGATACAAAATAAAGCCTAAAATCAAAAGGCCACTTATGGTCTGGAGAAAACAAAAAAAATATTGCTGAGTACTGCAAATAGTGGTGATGTATGAGTTTCCCACAGGAAAAGAGCAAAGTGCTAAGGCTAATCTTGTACTAGCTACTGCTGGATGGTGATTACTGACATTCAGAGTGTGGCTAGTAAGGATTCTTCTTGCTCAGGACAAACAAGGCTACAGTTTGTAACTTTTCCGTTCTACTTCTCATTGACTGAGAAAGCATCCATCTACTTTTCCTTCCTGGCATTTGAATCTAAATCGATGGTCTAGATTGCATTGCATCTAGATGCTGCCCCTTGTTTCATAAATGAAAAATCTTTCATTCTAGCACCTGTCAAATGTTAGCCATCAGTTCATCATTATGGAACTGTGTGTCATCCAAAAACAGATTATGGTATTCCAAAATTTAACTCCCATCAACTGTAAAGATGAACAATGTAACTTCCCAATGACCTTGGACAAAAGAGGACTGCAGAATGGTGTTCCAAGTAAGGATAGCAAAACTATCAGTCATGACTCCCACAGTCCTGTTATTAGAATACTTTATTCTCTTCATCTTTTGTTTCATTTTTTTTTGTGTTTGCACAGGTGAGGAGATAGGCTGAAACTCACCAGAATTACTTTTCTGCATATGTAGTTACAGCAGCTGGACTGAGATGAGCCATCATCACCTAAGTGCAGAGCAGCAGGCTAGTGAGATTATTCTATTGCCACTTACACAGAGGCAGAATCAGTTTCCAAGCCCAACCTTTTTTTTTTTGAATCTGCACAGGAGAAAGAGGCTAAACGTTGAGTTACAGCATTCCTTCTTGCAAGTGCCAGACAGCACAACAAGACAGCATTACAATTCAGAAAACTTGTGTTTGACAACATTAAGTGATCTCCTGGCAACAAAAAGTGTTTTCCTTTTTCCTGAGCTCTTGAGAAAAGTTTCCTGCGGGATTTTCTGTGGGAGATGATCCAAGTTGTACGTAACAGGCAGTGAGGTGGTCCCTGCAGCCAGGCACTTGGCTTTTTTCGCCCCTCCACGCTGTTTTTCCATGGCAGCTGCCCACCTGGCTCCTCTCACTTCCCTGGGCCCTCAGCCCTTCCGCACACCTCCCAGCTGCACAAACAGAGGGGCACGCAGCCATCTCAACACGTTTCCTCCTGCAGGGCGGGCCGGCCGGCCATCCTGCTCATACAACAACAGCTTAACAGTCTGAGAAATCCAATTCTTCCCCGTTATGTGCACCAAGGGACTGGGCTGCACTAAAGCTCCCCGCAATGAGCACACAGCTCGGGCTGTACTGCTGGGCAGCGCTCAGCACCACACTCAGCACTTCTGTGGCCATGAAGGCCTGAAGCAGTGTGTGCACACTGTGCTAAGGTCTGCATTCCTACATTCCGCCTCTGTTCAGCACTTGTAAATATAAGGGCGGTGTGAAAAGAGAAACTGTAACAAATCACAGAATGGCCAGGGTTGTAAGGGACCTCAAGGATCATGAATCTCCAACCCCTCTGCCACACACAGGGCCACCAACCTCCCCATTTAATACTAGACCAGGCTGCCCAGGGCCCCATCCAATCTGGCCTTGAACACCTCCAGGGACGGGGCATCCACAACCTCTCTGGGCAGCTGTTCCAGCACCTCACCACTCACCTAGTAATGAACTTCCCCCTGACATCCAACCTAAATCTTCCCTCTCTGAACTTAAAACCATTTCCCCTTGTCCTGCAGTTATCTACCCTTTAAAAGAGTTGATTCCCCTCCTGTTTGCAGGCTCTCTTTAGCTACTGAAAGGCTGCAATGAGGTCACCCCGCAGCCTTCTTTTCTCCAGGCTGAACAAGCCCAGCTCACTCAGCCTGTCTGTAGCGGAGGTGCTCCAGTCCCCAGTCATCTTCATGGCTCTCCTCTGGACCCTCTCCAACAGCTCCCTGTCTTTCTTGTACTGGGGTCTCCAGACCTGGACACAGTGCTGCACGTGGGGCCTCACAATAGCAGAGGGGGACAATCACCTCCTTGCCCCTGCTGGCCACCACTCTTCTGATGGAGCCCAGGATACCATTTGTCTTCCGAGCAGCAAGAGCGCACATGTTCAGCTTTTCATCCATCAAGACCCCCAGGTCCTTCTCTGCAGGACTGCTCTCAAGACCGCTCCTTCCAGTCTGCATGGATGCCTGGGATTCCCAGGTCAACGGCACCATTCAGAATCTCTGGAAAGCTGAACGCTGAGACCTCAACAGGAATCTGAGCTCTGCTAGAGGCTCCTCAGCCAAGGCAATCACAGAATGATTGGACATGAGCGCTGAGATCACCCAGTCCGACTGCAGCGCAGCCCCCCCAGCAGCTTATCGCCGCACCCGCAGGGCTCACCGCACCGCCCCGGCCGAGCCACCGCAGCGCCCCCCGCCGGGCCCCGCCGGCCGCCGTCACTTCCGGTAAGATGGCGGCTCCCACTGAGCTGCGGAAGCGGTGCCGGTGGCGCCGGGCCCGCGCGGCCGCCCCGCGGAGAGGCGGCTTGGGGCCGGAGCGGCATGGCGGCGGCGGGCTCCCTGCGGGGCCGGAGCCTCCCCGAGCTGCGGGAGATGCTGAGGCGGCAGGAGCGGCTGCTGGCGGACCAGTAAGCGCGGCTCCGCTCGGGGCCGTCTGCGTCGCGTTCCGCGCTGGCGTCGGCGGCGAAAGCGCTCCCGTGTGTCCGCTGGGCTGAGCGAAGGCCCCGGGGTCGCGGCCCGCGGTGCCGGCGGGGCGGCTGTTCTCCGCCTTCTGTCCGCTCTGGTGGGGCGGGGCCGGCGCGGTTCTGCTGCTGCGGGCGTTCGCTGTCGTGGTGCGGAGTTGGTGCTGGGAGCCGTCCGCGTGCCAGCCGCATGGGAAAGCTGAGAGATGGCGGGTGCGAGCCTGACAGCAGCGCGTGGGTGGGAAGAAGGGGGTGAGAACCTCGTCGGTGTGAGCGGCGGAGGCTGTCGGTGCTCTGCGTCTGGATTAGCAGCGTTCAGAAGTCTCGTAGTAGGGGAAGATGCTTGCTGGCAGAACTGAGGCCTGGGATAGCTGCTCTGGTAGAACAGCTTTGTGTGCCAGAATGAAATAGGATTGCTCAGACACGGTTAAACAACTCGTGTTGTTATTTTTTTTTAATTGTTTTTTACCACTTTAGGAAGTTCATCGATAAGCTCCCAG